GGACTGGAGAGAAGGGGGAGATGGGGTGAGAGTCCCCCCCAGGCTGTTTAGCTGAACCCCCCCCACCCCACTCCTGGTGGCATCAGGATGCCCCGGGGAGAAATTAAAACACAGAGAACATGCAAACTTCCTGCACAAATGAAAGCCCCAAATCTGTGGTCTTTCCACCCAACCAAACCTCTTTTTTTTGCAACATCAACCTTGCTTCAATTTGCATTAAAAAAATAAACCCATTAAACAAATAAACCCATTAAACAAATTAACATTTGGGAAGCATGTGCACCCCAAAAACCTCCCTGGCCCCGCCTCAGTGGGGTGGAGGGGTCTGGGGTCCCACAGCCACCTGGGTGGTCCAGGCTCATCTGGGCACTGACCGAGTGCTCCTCGGAGTCAGAGGTCTGCGAGGCGATGATGGGGTTGAAGCTGGTGGGCGAGAGAGGACCCAGCTTTTTCCTCATGGCTCGGATTTGGAGCAAGGCTCGGAAAGCTGTAGCAGCAGGGACAAAAGGTGGGGTGCTGAGAGGAGACCCCCCCCTCCAAAATGCCACTCCTATTTCCCAGGAGGGGCATCCTTGCACTGCACAGCATTGCTGCACGCAGGGCTGGAGGGACCCAAAAACCTGAGGATGGGAGATGCCAGCCTCCCCATCTGAGATATCAGCCACCCCATCATCATCTGAGATGTCAGCCACCCCCTGCCCAAGGTGCCAGCCCCCCCGGCCCTTACGCAGCCTGCAGATGGGGCAGTTGTTGGCCTGGTAGCGCAGGGTGTCGGCGCAGGTGTTGCAGAGGCAGAGGTGGCGGCAGGGCAGGATGAGGGTGTCACGGACATCTGAGAGGCAGACGACGCACTCGGCGCTGTTATCGCTCACCTCGTCCTCGGCCACCTGCCCCATGGGAGAGATGAGAGACACTTGGCTTTGGGATCCCCAACCTGCATGACACAAGGGTGGGTGCCCTAAAATACCATCTGGGTGCCCCGAGAGCTCACTGCAGGGTCCTGCCTGTTTCCCTGGGCTGCCTGCTCTGGAAATACAACCCTGGGACCTCATTCCACCCCTCCTGGAGGCTGGGAGATGGGGCCAGAGGCATCAGGCACCCCACAGAGGGATGCATCCTTCACCCCAACTTTTACATATATAATCATAGAATCATTTTAGGTTGGAAAAGACCTTTAAGATCAAGTCCATAAACCTAACACTGATTGATACATACATACATACATGTATGTATGTATGTATCAGAGAGGGAGGCACATCCCACACTTTGAGCCTCACAGTCCCTTTCTAAGATCCAGCCACCACCCTCCCAAAGGACCACAAAGGATGGGGGGAAAAAAAGCTCAATCCTTCAGCTTTCTGCCTCCAGGCACTTCAGTGCCAACACAAAACACTTGCACTGCTCTGGTCAGCTCCGTGCCATGCTGCAAACCCTCTCCCCATGTGTGTTTTAGCTGCTGGACCCATGCCAGGGGAAGGGGCGAAGGGACGAGGGAAGACCAGCAGGATGGAGACTGCAGGATGGAGGCAACTACCTTGGAGTCCTGCGTGTTGTACTTGTTCTCGATGCCGTAGATCTCCTGCAGAAGGTAACTCACGCCATCCACCTGCAACCCCATGGGGAAGGGGTGAGGAGCAGAGACACAGCCCCCACCCAGCCACTGCAGCCCCCAGCCCCCTCCTTGGGCCAGCCCTTCTTGCCCCAACGTCTGTGATTTCTCTTTGCATCAATGCACTTGAAATTGGCAGTGGTCCCCAGGCTCCCTGGGAGGCAGGAGCAGGGCGGGGACAGGCTGCTGCCCACACCAGGCTTTGCTGCTCCCCAAAATCCCTTCCACACAGGGGTGTACGAGGCAGTAGCTGCCACTGCCTCAGGGACACTCAGATACTCACCACTTGCTTCTGCTTGAGGGGCTTCACGCAGAAGGTGCCATCACTGTGCTGGAGGGAGGAGAACACATGAGTGGGCACCAGGGCTGAGCACCCCAGGGACTACTGTGCTCAAGCACCCACCCACCCCATAGCTGTCATCGCTCCCTCCTTGCTCCCAACCAACTTGTTTTGCAGCAATTCTGCTTTTACCTGACACCCTGGTGCCAGGCAGGTGTGGGATGTCACATGCACTGCAAGGCTGGAGACTTACTGGAGCAAGAAAGATGGAGTTGAGACCAAATGCCTCAAAAGTGGGCGCTTAAAATTAGGGGATAGTCCCAGAACATTGAAAGCAGCCCCCAAACAGCCCAGCAGCACCATCCCAAGCCCCGTGGGGTTTCTCCAGGCTCTCACAGGCAGTGGGTGAGGGGGTAGGAGGGGTGAATACAGCCTCAGCTCGGCACTTACCTTCTCGAAGGTGGCCAGCAGCACGTGGCAGTGCCCGGTGTGCTCTGCAAGACACAAAGGGACAGGGCAGGGCTCAGGGGATGGGCAGGGCCACTGTGGCAGCAAGAAGAAGCAGGAGGCTCTGCTTGGTTGGTGTAAGGGTTGGCATCATAGTGCCAGCAACTGGGAAAGTCCAACCCAACAAGGAACCCCCTCCTCACCCTCTCCTTCATCCACCACCGCGTGCACCACCATGGGGTACACCTCCCGGTCCAGGTCGAAGCCCAGCTGGAGAGAGACAGGAGGAGAGATGGTGAGATGGAGCAGCGATAGAGGCTTCATCCCACATCCATAACCATACCCAACCCTGTGGTCGATGCCACGGGCTGGTGGGACCCACCTCCTCCTCACTCCACTCAGAGGGATCAACGGTGTGGGAGGGCACGCAGAACTGCTGGCACACCCCCCGCTTGTAGTGCACCGTCTCCGACTGCAGGCTGTTGTCTCTGGGGATGTAGCTGTCCCATGGAGAGAGGACAGTCAGGAGCACCATGGGTGTCCCCATACTCCTCCCAGTCCCCCCAGCTCATGGGGATGCAGGGAAGATGGGAGAGAGGAGGGTCACTCCTCCCCTCCTCTCCTGGACCCCTCTTGAGGGTGACGTAAGAAGTCTTAAAAAGGGGCTAAAATAATCCATGGGGCTAAAATAACCCCAGGGCAGGAGGGGACAGGGACAACTCTGCAGCCAACCTGGTTGGGACCAGGAGGGGCAATGATTTCTCCTGGTCTCAGCTCTGACCTGGAGGTAAAAAGAGGGAGCAGAACAGGATGGGGAAGGAGGTGGCAGAGGCTGGCAGGGACCTGGCGGTGGCACCCAGGGGACATGAGGAACCCCCCTCCCTCCTCAGCACTGCTGGCAGCTGCCTCGTGCCCCAAGGAGTGGAGATGTTCCAGGGAGGAGATGCTCCATGTCCATCAGCAGAGCCTCACACCCTGGCCAGAGGGACACATCGGGCTTGGGGGGGGGACACAGGCCAGGCTGGGGCTCCTCACCTCGCCACCCCGTTGTGAAACTCTTCGCTCGCCTGGTAGTAGATGGTTATGGCCACACAGGCATCCGTGTCGAAGGTGAACTCCACGTTGTAGTGCACCTTGGCTTTGCTGACTTCTTCCCCTGGGGTCTTCACCTCCTCCGAGCATCTGGAGAGCACAGAGGGTTTGGGAGATGGGCACCCCTTGGGGACAGCTTGGGGTGTCCCAGGACTGATCCCCTGGCACACAGATGGCCCCAAAAGGGGCTGCCCCTCTCCATCAGGGAAACTGTGGCAGGCCAGGAGGGCTTGGCATGCCCAAGGGCAACCCTGCAGCCTGAGAAGTGCCATAATCCCCAACCTCCCACCCCAGCCATAATCCCTGGCCTCCCTCCAGGAAAGCCTTTGGAAGGTGGAGGAGGAAGAAAAAGCAAAGCACTTCAAAGGCAGCACTGAACTCCTTCAATCCCACGGTGCAGCCAGTGCCCACGGGAGGGACACACCAGGAGGAATAGGGGCACATTTGGACAGTGGTGGCTCGTCCCCCTCCATCCAGCTGTGCCGAGATG